GCTATCCCACCAGGAAGCTGTCACTGTACAGAGCCACAGGTACGAAGGCATTCCCAAACCCACATATATACTAGGATTAGAATCCAAACATACCTGAGCTCATTCCTGGTCTGCAACTTGAGAAAAGAGCCCAGTGAGGTTCAAAAAAATTGGCATTCTTTTTGCATTCAAACATACAGTACATCAGCTATCCATCAGAGTGCTGCTTTTAATTAGATGTCCTCATCAGAGTTCCCTCTTACATCAGGTGTCTGCACTAGGATGCTCCCTTACACCTGGTATCTCCATCACAGTGCCCCATTATACTTGGTGTCTCAATGACAGCATCCCCTTACACCTGGTGTCCCCAGTAGAGTGCCCCCTTACAGCAAACATGTGGAAGAAGGTGCTCTGGTCAGATGAGACCAAAATTGAACTTTGTGGCCTAAAAGCAAAACGCTATGTGTGGCGGAAAACTAACACTGCACATCACCCTGAACACACCACCCCCACTGTGAAACATGGTGGTGGCAGAATCATGTTGTGGGGATGCTTTTCTTCAGCAGGGACAGGGAAGCTTCTCAGAGTTTATGGGAAAATGGATGGAGCCATATACAGGGCAATCTTAGAAGAAAACCTGTTAGTCTGCAAAAGACTTCAGACTGGGGAGGAGGTTCACCTTCTAGCAGGACAACGACCCTAAACATCCAGCCAGAGTTACAATGGAATGGTTTAGATCAAAGCATATTCATGTGTTAGAATGGCCCAGTCAATATCCAGACCTAAATCCAATGGAGAATCTGTGGCAAGACTTGAAAATTGCAGTTCAGAGATGCTCTCCATCCAATCTGACAGAGCTTGAGCTATTTTGCAAAGAAGAATGGGCAAAAATGTCCCTCTCTAGATGTGCAAAGCTGGTAGAGACATCCCCAAAAAGACTTGCAGCTGTAATTGCAGCGAAAGGGGGTACTACAAAGTATTGACTCAGGGGGGCTAAATACAAATGCACACCACACTTTTCGGATATTCTGAAAATCATTTATCATCATTTTCCTTCCACTACAATTATGCGCCACTTTGTGTTGGTCTATCACATAAAATCCCAATAAAATACATTTACATTTTTGGTTGTAACATGACAAAAAAATGGAAAATTTCAAGGGGAATGAAGACTTTTTCAAGGCACTGAATACGCTTCACTGGCCACTTTATTAGGTACACCTTGCTAGTACCGGGTTGGACCTCCTTTTGCCTTCAGAACTGCCCTAATTGTTCATGACATAGATTCAACAATGAGTTGGAAACATTCCCCAGAGATTTTGGTACATATTGACATGAGCTGCCTTTCTATCATCTCGAACCAGTCTGCCCATTCTCCTCTGACTTCAAGGTATTTTCATCCACACAACTGCCGCTCACTGGATATTTTTTTTTCCGGATCATTCTCTGTAAACCCTAGAGATGGTTGTGTGTGAAAATCCCAGCCAATCAGCAGTTTGTGAAATACTCAGACCAGCCCATCTGGCACCAACAACCATGTCACGTTCAAAGTCACTTAAATTCCCTTTCTTCCCCATTCTGATGCTCGGTTTGAACTTCAGCAAGTCGTCTTCACCACGTCTAGATGCCTAAATGCACTGAGTTGCTGACATGTGATTGGCTGATTAGCAATTTGTGTTACCAAGTAATTGAACTTAATAAAGTGGACCTTTGTTGTCCTAAGATGCAATAAATGCTTATGGATCTTGAACGTGAGCAAATGTGGTTGTGTTGGCCTCTTATCTATTGTATACCACCTCCTAAACATACATAAAACGCCTAAATCAATGTTCTAAAGGCCACGGGTAAGAGGAGGTCAGGTGTTAACATAAAAACATGGCTGTATCCTGGTTGGACCTCCTTACTGATATTATCCCACTGTAATCTTGTATTCCAATACTAACACCTTGCTAAGTAATAATTACCACTAATCAGCACTGCAATACTATACTGATATGAAAATATGATCCACTGACTGTCCCATTCCTCACCGCGATAGCTGAAGAAGCCCTTCGCCTTCTTTTCTTCTGTGGCAGGAATGACCGTCCCTACTAGGTAGTTTGCAAATGAGATCATGATGACAATGAAAAAAAGTATCTGAGCCTGGAGAATAAGGAAAAAAAAATAAATCGTACTAAAGAGCGATGTGTGGAGTGATAGCATTCAAGGGTGGACTGACAACTCATGGGGCCCCCGGGCAATAGGGGATCATGGGGCCCCTGTGTCCTTGCCCAAACTCAAAAAAGCCTATGAAAAAGGTACCAGGGGCATCTCATGGGGCCCCCTACTGACCCTGGGCCCTCGGGCAGTGCCCGAGTTTCCAAATGGTCAGTCCGCCCCTGTTCCATTCACTCCAAAACCAAATGTTAAAGGCAAATGTTTTTTAAAGCACTTTCTAACAATGCTCATCATGTCATTAAATATACTGATGAGATTTTTGGTTTGAATGTTGGTACTAGTCAGTGGCGTCCCTATACGGGTGCAGGGGGGGGTGCGCACTGCACCGGGTGACACTTAACGCACAGGGTGACACCAGACCTTCACTGGATCTTGCGACCTCTGCAAGATGGATCGGATCTGCGGATTGACCATAATGGATCGGAATCCGCAGATCCAATCCATCCTGCTGGGATTGTCGGAGGGGTGACACCAAGTGTTACCGCACCGGGTGACACCAACCCTAGGGACACCCCTGGTACTAGTGTACAGGCAGCTTAAAAGTTAAAGAAGAACTCCAGGATAGGCAAAAAGATCATCCATTAGTACACCAACCTACACAAAACACTAAACAGTTAGTGAAATTGTGACAATCCTTAACATTTAGGAGAAAAGTCTAATTGAATTTTCATGACCTCACCTCTGTAATTCAAAAACATAACAGCAACTGCTCTGTCAATGAGGAGTTGTAACAGCAGGGATTGCATCATATACTCTTCTCTTTCTCCGCAGTAAAAGGATACTACAGTTCCCATGAACCACAGGGAATTGTAGTAAATGTGGGTCTGTACATGAGTGAGAGTCTTGGTCCGCCCACCACTGAAAGTGGGGCTGAATTACATCACTGCTTCCTGGAGAAAGAACTACAGAAGGGATGTGCCAAGACAGTGGCTGGGGGAATAGTAGGCATAGGAGCCACTGGTCTTACAAACAGGAAGCCAAAGAGATTTAACGGTTTGATTTGAAAATGAATGGGCTATTGCAGAGCAACTACTGAGGGAACCAGAAGATGGATGACATATTATCAGTGAATGTAGAAAATCAGCAACAAGGACATGTAAATAGTTTTTTTCCCGGAGATATGCTTTAAGCAAACCCAACATTTCATTTGCCTGCTGTACCATGTACGTGTGTGAAAAATTACCCTGTTCTCTTTGCATTGCTTCCTTTGTGTGAAATCCCTGGTTTTTCTGCCAGTCCCTCTGCTTTCCTATTAAAACTGACCACACTAAGCATGAGAGCACACCGTGGCCAGTTCTCTAGCTGTGCTGAGAACTCAGCCTGCTCCCCTCCAATGGTCAGACTTCTGCTCATATTCCCACCCTCACAGCCATTCACTGGGAAGATCAGTGTCCTGCTGTTTCTCCTCATCCAGATCTCTAAGATCCTTATGCAGCTGAGAACAAAGGGTATGTGATCACTTACAGTGAATAAAAGAGAAGAAAGGTTATTTACAATTATTTTTATATGTATACACAAATGTTTTACCTTTCACTTCTATTTAGACTGAATGGGTTCTTTTACAAAGTGGGAGTTTCATGTATACTTCAGGTGAACTAAAGGTCGATTAGATGATTTTTTAGTAGAAGTTCAAAGGATTCATTAAAGTAATTTCTTCAAGGAATTCCATTAATGGGGTCAGAAGTAAAGTCTGTCCTGACTGAAGGATAAAGTGGTAGTAGCATCAATGCATGTTTAGCTGTCCTCTGGAGAAATGTAAATGACTTTTAAAGATCAATGTCATTGATGTATTATTGTATTTCTTATTATATAAATTGGGCCACCTATGCTTTGCTTTACTGTTGAAGAAATATAATGCTACTGTTGTTAAAGGGATTTACAAAACATCTGCTGACAATCATACAGAAAAATGCTATAGATTGACTATATATTAAATAACATTGTATCATTTTTGTTACCTTTGCCTCCCACTCCATACCAGCCAGTGAGATTCCTAGAAGTAGCACAACAGTAATGATGCCAATGATTCGAATGTCATTAGTTGGGTCCACAATGGTTGCGTCATAATCCTGCAATGGTGAAATTATTATTTTGTGCAAAAGAATAACTACTTTTAGTATATTATCATTTCTTACAGTCTCATTGTCTCACCCTCAACAGATCCCGCACAGTCTCCGCAAAGCCAACTGTGTGCATGGCAACAGCCACAGCGTTTGCAAATGCAAATATCAAGCCGATAGATCCTCCTAACTCAGGTCCCAAGCTTCTAGAGATAAGGAAATAGGTGCCACCTAAATTGTATAAAATATATTTAAAGTTGAAAACGGTATTCTGACAATTTACTTTAAAGCAAAATCCACCCAAAATCGATATACAGTTGTGGCTGGACAGTGGTGGGTGTCCTCCACGTGTGCCTTATTTGTTGCAGGGTTTCGAAAGAACTAAAGAGAAACTCATGACAATTAAACATCATTAATGAAATCATGGTAAAATGAATAATTGGGTGGGAACATCTAATGGAAAAAAGTAAACCACTAAAAGAAAGTCTTTTTTGCAATGGTTGAGCGGCGATGAAGAAAAGGAAGACCCCAAAAGGTGGGTTAGAGAAAAAAATGTGTACCTTTAAAAAAAAAACAATCAAACGAAAATAATGGAAGGTAGTCCAAAGGGTAGTAGGATTACAGAACAGAGAATTCCTTGCTCTCTCCAAAACAGAGTTTCACTTCTCCTATCATCCTCGTTTTACTGCCTGTCTTCATGTTTGAGAATTCCTCACTGCTACTCAGGGGCGAACTGACAACTCATGGGGCCCCCCGGGCAATAGGGGATCATGGGGCCCCTGTGTCCTCGCCAACACTCAAACCACACCCAAAAAAGCCCATGAAAGGTACCAGGGGCCTCTCATGGGGCCCCCTACTGATCCCGGGCCCTCGGGCAGTGCCCGAGTTCTCGAATGGTCAGTTCGCCCCTGCTGCTATTAGTTTCACCAAAACCAAATTCTGACATGCAACAGCAGCACAAGGAGCAAGAACATATTGCCAGGGGAACTAAACAAAGCCCCAAATAAACATTTCATTTAAATCAACTAAATACATCCTGGGTGCACTAAAACAAAAAATGGGTTCAAAATCTTACAGTTTTTTCATTTTAAAGCAGCCACAGCCTGTGTAGAAGAGTCTGTGCCCTGCCAGCATTCTGCCAAAAGGGGTCCTTGTCTCATGGTCTCTTTGAGGAGGTTTGAAATGTTCCTCTTCTGAGCCAAACCTAAAGCTCTTCAGACAGAAAAGCTCATGATCCTTGCTGATTGGAGAGCTCTAACTCTGCAAAAACAGAAGTGAGCCAGGCCTCTGCAGAGAGACCACTGCGGCCATTCATTAGATTGGGATTTAAATTATGGGTCTTCAAATGTAAGTATAAAGTATATGTATATGTGTCAACAATGGTATAATGGCAGTGCCTTATTTGTAGACTCATTGGCTGGACTGTATTATTTTTCTTTTTTACCGCTGTGATATGTTGTACTTTTTAAACATCTACTGACTATAGAATTTATGTCTACTCTCAAGTGCAATTTTTAATAAACTTTCTAGAGTCAAACTTTTTTTTTTTTGTTTTGGACAAAGTAGTGAGGAGGTCCCTAAAATGTTTTTTTGCCAAGTCTTCACCAAGAATATTCACTCTCTTCATTTGTCCTTTGTGACCTTTGTCTTTGGGATAGGAATTGAGTAGAAAATCCAAAGTATTGAGTTGTCACCAAAACAAGATTAGAAGAGAACACTAAGGCTCAGTTTACACTAGCTTTGTCAGAAGACGTCAGACAGGCGTTTGGGAAGCGTTTTTAATGCTTCTCAAACGCCTATGAAAATTCTGCACATGACAGCACAGAGTGATGTTCACACTGAAGCGTTAGCGTTGCATCGCGGCAAAACTGACGCCTCATGTCCTGTCAGGAGGAGTTGAAGCCTCCCATTCAAGTCTATGGTGCCACTCCTCAAACGCTTTTTGTGGTGCGGTTTGTGGTGCGGTTTTACCGCTTGGCAAACGCCTATCAACCACCACAAAATCACGCATAGGGCGTTTGGGGAGCATTTTAGGAGCATTAAAAACGCTTCCCAAACGCCTGTCTAACACCTGTCAAACGCTATAGGGGCATTTGGCAAGAGTTAGAAATAAAGTCAAGTGTGAACCAGGGGCGGACTGATCATTTGGAAACTCGGGCACTGCCCGAGGGCCCGGGGTCAGTAGGGAGCCCCATGAGATGCCCCTGGTACCTTTTTCATAGGCTTTTTTGAGTTTGGGCAAGGACACGGGCCCCATGATCCCCTATTGCCCGGGGGCCCCATGAATTGTCAGTCCGCCCCTGGTGTGAACAAGCCCTTATACCAGTGACAACTATCTAAGAGGGGAGAAATTGCTTAAATTTCTGTTGTGTCTACAGGACAGGAAGTGAAGGGAAATCTCCCAAATGGGACACAGGTAGCAAAACAAACAAAACAAGAGAAGGGTTTTAACCATTCGTGACTCACTCCAAAATGAGAAATTGTTTTGTCTTTAGACATTTAATATTGGATTTTACCTAGCTGATCGCTTTTGATTTCTTAGGATTAGACATGTGCTGTTGGGTGTCCTCTGGACTATCTGGACTCTAAATTTTACTTTTTTTTTTTATCTCCAACAAATTATGGGTTAGGTCATTCCCATCCCGTAGCTCCTGTAAACAAAGAGCTGGGCTACGGGGCGGTAACGTCTCAGCCCTCGTCTCAATGGAATTTAAAAAAATAAATAAAAGCACAAGTTTGTAGTTCAGCTAAAGATGATTTTGGAGGATGCTCAAGCTCATCACCACTCAGAACAGGGCTTGCACAAATATCCATAAACATCTTTATATGAAAAACAGATTGTTCAGCAGGGGCGGACTGACCATTTGGAAACTCAGGCACTGCCGGAGAGCCTGGGGTCAGTAGGGGGCCCCATGAGATGCCCCTGGTACCTTTTTCATAGGCTTTTTTGAGTTTGGGCAAGGACACAGGGGCCCCATGATCCCCTATTGCCCGGGGGCCCCATGAGTTGTCAGTCCGCCCCTGTTGTTCAGTCATCTAACATCTATGGACTTTTATGCTAGTGATACTAAAAAGGCTGCCTCAATTGCATTCTTTGTAACACAGATCAAGTTACCTGATTTGACTTTCCCATTGGTGGAAATAGCAGAGATGGACAATCCTGTGATACTGGTGACGGTCACAGACATGAAGATAATAAGCCAGGTTAGCGCTATAGGGGGATATAACACAGCATTAATGTACAGTATGTATGAGAAATGTGAGCACAAAATATTGAACATGTACTGACCTATCCCGGCCTGAGCGGTGATCCAGGGTAGACGGAGGTACAAAATCACTCCCCAGATATTCAACATGCAGCGGATCTGGGCAAGTATAGACAACAATGATTGACCTATACATTCTTACCATCATGAAAATAGCCTACTAATAATTTAATACTACTAAATTACTAATTTTCTTGAAATCATTTTTTTATTAAAAGCGGAACTTTGAAAAAAATCAAACATGACATAATGAGTCTGTCACCAGCATTAACAAAGCAGTCTTTGTCTTTAAGTCTCAACCATGGTTTTATTACCTGTTGCTCCTGCCAAAATATCTATTATTTTTCTATTTCTTTTAACAGGGGGAACCTATGGACAAACAATGTTAGATGGATGCCCTCTGCCAAATCAGTTCTCAGTTAGCAAAGCTCACTCTCCCAGCTAATTTGGGAGTTTTAGCTCTGATTTGACAGGGGGTGCATTGGATCTCTACAACATGCTAGTAGGGGACACACTTTTCTGCCCAGACTATGGCTGCTTTCTAAAGAAAAATAACTGAAATAATTGTAGGACTTTGCACACCTTTTCAAGATGCTCCTGAATGTATTTAGTTGATTTAAAGCGGTAGTAAAGAAATGAATTTGGTGGATGCTCAAGCTCATCTCCACTCAGATTAGGGCTTGCACAAATATCCGCTCAGTGCATAGACATCTTTACATGAAAAACAGATTTCTTTAGTCATCTAACATCTATGGACTTTTATTCTAGTAATACTAAAAATGCTGCCTTGATTGCATTCTTTATAAACACAGCTCAAGAGTGCAGTGCAGTGCAGTGCAGTGCAGTGCAGTGACTTCACCAGCGCTGCTAAAGTAAATATCTCTTATACAGTGCATGCTTAGGAAATATTTACAGTACCTACAGGTAAGCATCATTAAAGGCTTACCTGTAGGTAAAAATATGGAAAAAGTCCTTACTACCACTTTAAAGTAGAGATAAAGGGTGAATAGTCACCTATCCATCGGTCCCTTGCCAATGCCACCATCTGCTTCTGAGTGCCAGTCTTCAGGCCTCCTCATTGGCCAGTAGGAGATGACGTCACTCCTGTACATGTCCATCCCGGTACTCAGAGTCCGGCTCAGCATGGTGGGCTAAGCTGTGCATGCACAACTCATTTTACAGCACTGATGAAAACAGCAAGCAGTTAGGCAGAGGCATTTTATTGCAGAAGAGACAGTGCATGTCTTTTCTGCATTAAAAGCGCTGTTTCATACAACAGAATTTCAGTTCTGATTTAAACTGGAATTCAGTTGGACTTTGAAGTGGAATTAAACAGAAAGAAATGCATGCTTTTTATTGCAGAAGACATGTTATGTCACATCTATATCACATCTGCAATAGGACAAACCTAAATAGTAAAACAAACAGTGTTGCACTCCCTTAATGTGTTACAAAAAATTGATCCAATTCCTTTAAGATCAAATTATCATGCCATAAATAGTGCTCACGAAAAACTCTAATATTTCATATGTGAAATTTAACCCCTTCTCACCGCTCCCTCTAGCCCTTTAAGTGGATCTAAATGGTGTAGGCGGGCATTCCGATCGTGTGATCAATGTGATTGGCAATCACAGTGGTCACATGAACAGAAAGCTCCCAATCGCAAGTATGCACCAGGGGCTTTCAGGTACCCATTCGCTACTGTCCGGGGAGTGCACAGAGAACACGCTCTCAGCACAGTAAATTGTTCACTTAGGGCCTCATATATGCAGCCGCTCGGTACCCAACAATAAATGCGCCAGGTTGGCGGGAAGTGGTTAAAATTGTGAAACAAAAAATCCAATAGATGTAAATAAAGTCCCAATGGTGAATAAATAATCAGACGTAATATTGTCCCATAGATGTAGATCTTCTGTGTTGTAATAGTAGATCTAGTACGCCTCCGCCAAAGACGTAATAAGGCCACTTACTGGAAACCCAGATCCCAATAGCATGAAGGGCTAAGCAATTTCAGCATTCCCCAGCAAACTCTAGGTGGACAAATTCAACCCTCTATGTGCTCAGCACTCCTTCAGATAATGGTTTCCAGCATCAACAGAATCGGCTGTACTCAGTAAAGAAAGCACATGAAAAAAGCACAAGGTAAAACTACTCAAAAACCAGCGTATATGGGTTAGAAAAAGTGCACCACTTCACTTGCTCCACTGGATGTGATAGCATCACCGCTAGGCTCCAGCAGAATGTTACATGTGAAAAGTCAGGAGGCTGAATATACCATTGTTTTGTGTTGATGGTGGAAACCCCTGTGTGTGTAACCTATGTTGTATGGACGTTTTGTATTTCCATAATATAATTGGGCCAACAAGCCCTTAAAACAACAATTTCTGGCGTGGACTGTACTCGTGGCGAGTGCTACACTGGAGCTAGAAAACCCCGAACTTTACTGTGTATGTGTGTGTGTATATATATATATATATATATATATATATATATAGATATATATATATACACACACACATACACACACACACACACAGTATTTGTGTTACTTCACCATGTCAGCAAGTCCTCTTTAATCAACTACTGTCTCTATATAACTCACTCATTTAGACAGCACAATACAGACTCCAGTATTAGGGCAGTGTTAGCACATGGCTCAGCAAAGATGGCAGCAGGGGCGGACTGACAACTCATGGGGCCCCCGGGCAATAGGGGATCATGGGGCCCCTGTGTCCTTGCCCAAACTCAAAAAAGCCTATGAAAAAGGTACCAGGGGCATCTCATGGGGCCTCCTACTGACCCCGGGCCCTCGGGCAGTGCTCGAGTTTCCAAATGGTCAGTCCGCCCCTGGATGGCAGTGAAAGTTATTTTTCTTATAAAGCCCCACAATCATAACACTGCATACCTATGTGTACCGTGGCTCTATCTTTCTTTAGCCAGTGCATACTGTCATTAATTATGTGACTAATTTTCATTTACCATGACTCCTTTTATCCACCCAAATCTGACTGGTTCCCATGCTGGCGTCTCCACCACATTCTCAGACTCTCCATCTGGAGATTCTACACTGGCTTCATACACTGGAGGCCGCAGGTGATCCTCCTATGGAAACACAATGAGGAAATAATATCAGCAAATATCCTAATAAGTCTTACCTCAGCTTCACGAGATAGCTATATAGTATAGACATTTTATACCACCAGTTGTATCAGGTTTGGGCATCAACTAGAAGGATTAGGTAATGCAGCACACCTCAGAAGACACCCTCAGCTGATGGATCCTGGAGACAGAACACCTACCTAAAGTATTGTTACCAATAACATATGAGCATAAGTAGGTAGTGTCTTAAAGTACATTGCATATACACAAAGACTTAAAGTGGTTCTAAAGGCTCAAGGTTTTTTTACCTTCAATGCATTCAATGCATGAAGGTAAAAACCCTTCTATGTGCAGCATCCCTCCCAGCCCCCCCCCCCCCCTTAATGCTCACTTAAGCCCCCTCTCGATCTAGCGATGTACACTGGAGTCTCAGCTATCCCAGGACTCCCACTCCTCATTGCCTGATACAGAAGCAGTAGCCATTGGCCAGTGAGCCCAATGAGAAAAGATAGGAGGCTGGGACGAGGCACGGCTCAGTGTATGAATGGACAAAAAGAGCAGTGGGTGGGTGCCCCCATAGCAAGCTGCTTGCTGTGGGGGCACCCGACAGGAGGGAGGGACCAAAAGCATCGGCGGGGGACCCCTAGAAAAGGAGGATCCGGGCTGCTCTGTGCAAACTACTGCACACAGCAGGTAGGTATAAACATGTTTGTTATTTAAAACAAAAAACAAATAAGCCTTTAGAACCACTTTAACAAAACTTGTTTAGTGTGCAATAATGATTATATAGACCCTTTGCACTGACAGGTTAAGTGAATAACATAGATTATCTTGTTACAAGGACAACTGAAAGTCAATGAAATATTTCAGGCAGCAAGTAAACATGTTGTCCCTGAAGTTGTGTTGAAAGCAGAACAAATGGGCATCACAGTTTGTTATGCATGGAGCTGGGTTAGCCGTAGACCAGTCAGGGTGCCCATGCTAACCCATGTCCACAGGCAAAAGTGTCTATAATGGGCACGTGAATTGGACCACCATGCAGTGGAAGAAGGTGGCCTGGTATGATGAATCACATTTTTTTCCCATCATGTAGATGGCCAGGTGTGTGCTTCACTTACTTTGGGAAGAGACAGCACTACAATGCAGTGTGGGAAGGAGGAAAGCAAGCCAGTGAGTGTAATGCTTTGGGCAACGTTTTCCTGGGAAACCTTGGGTCCTGCCATTCATGTGGATGGTACTTTGACAAATACCACCTACCTAAACATTATTGATGACCAAATACACCCCTTCATGGAAACAGTATTCCCCGATGTCAGTGGCCTCTTTCAGCAGGATAATGCATCCTGCCACATCGTTATAATGGTTCAAGAATGGTTTGAGGAACACAACTAGTTTGATGTGTTGACTTGGTCTCTAAATACTCCAGATCTGAATACAATTCAGTGTTTGTGGGATGTGCTGGAAAAACCAAGTGCAATCCATGGAGGTCCCACCTCTCAACTTGGCTTCTTGCCACTGACAGAATTGGTGCCAGATACCACAGCATACCTTCAGAGGTCTAGTGGCATCCATGCCAGAACTGTTTTAACAGCAAAAGGGGGACCTACTCAATGTTAGGTAGGTGGTCAAAAGTTATGGTTGATCGGTGTATATTCCTCTATCATACCTCCCAAATTTCTGAGGTGAGAAAGAAAGACACCTTTTAGCACAAAGTAGTGTTCAAAGGGCACACCAGTGCAATATCCTTGTTAGGCTGACCATAAAAAAAAAAATTAACAGAAACAAATGATTGGTTAAACCCAACCCATATGTGTTTTTTTACCATCACTTTTACTTTAATCTAGCGTTTAAATATAATTTATGCAATGACCGATCCACTGAATTAAAAGGCTTAACATAGTATAGATTTCACACACAAAATGACTGCGCTTCCTAAAAATGAATCCCTCAAAAATTCACAGAAATCAGATATCAATAGTCAATAAAAACAAGTAAATAAATCCAAGGAATCAGGACAGATCTTTAAACCAGGCATTATAATTCAGTGTTGTTTGACCAACATTTTATAAGAGGTCAAGTAGATTAGGTGAGTGATTTTGAGCCACTGGGGTGCATATTGGAGGTTCTGATGCACTTTATACCACTGAGAATGAAACCTGCTCATCTATCACATACACTATATTGCCAAAAGTATTGGGACCCTCCTCCAAATCATTGGATTCAGGTGTTCCAATCACATCCATGGCCACAGGTGTATAAAATGAAGCACCTAGGCATGCAGACTGCTTCTACAAACATTTGTGAAAGAATGGGTCACTCTCAGGAGCTCAGTGAATTCAAGCGTGGTACCGTGATAGGTTGCCACCTGTTCAATAAGTCCATCTGTAAAATTTCCTTGCTACTAAATATTCCATGGTCAACTATTAGTGATATTATAACAAAGTGGAAGCAACTGGGAACAGCAGCAACTAAGCCACGAACTGGTAGGCCACGTAAAATGACAGAGCGGGGTCAGCGCATGCGGAAGCGCTCAGTGCACAGAAGTCACCAACTGTCTGCAGAGTCAATAGCTAAAGACCTCCAAACTTTGTGTGGCCTTCAGATTAGCACAACAGCAGTGTGTAGAGGGCTTCATGTATTGGGTTGGCTGAGCAGCTGCATCCAAGCCTTATATCACCAAGAGCAATGCAAAGCATCAGATGCCGTGGTGTAAAGCATGCCGCCACTGGACCATAGAGCAGTGGAGACGTGTTCTCTGGAGTGACCAATCACGCTTCTCTGTCTGGCAATCTGCTGGACATGTATGGGCTTGGCGTTGCCAGGAGAAAGGTACTTGCCTGACTGCATTGTGCCAAGGGTAAAGTTTGGTGGAGGGGGGATTATGGTGTGGGGTTGTGTTTCAGGGGTTGGCCCCTTAGTTACAGTGAAGGGAACTCTTAAGGTGTCAGCATACCAAGACATTTTGGACAATTTCATGCTTCTAACTTTGTGGGAACAGTTTGGGGATGGCCTCTTCCTGTTCCAAAATGACTGCGCACCAGTGCACAAAGCAAGGTCCATAAAGACATGTATGAGCGAGTTTGGGGTAAAGGAACTTGACTGGCCTGCACAGAGTCCTGACCTCAACCCGATAGAACACCTTTGGGATGAATTAGAGTGGAGACTGTGAGCCAGGCCTTCTCGTCCGACATCAGTGCCTGACCTCACAAATGCGCTTCTGGAAGAATGGTCAAACATTCCCATAGATACTCCTAAACCTTGTGGACGGCCTTCCCAGAAGAACTGAAGCTGTTATAGCTGCAAAGGGTTTGCCAACTCAATATTGAACCCTACGGACTGTTGGGAATGCAACAGCATGTACTATAATGTACTATATAGTATTGTGTGTTAATATCACTTGACCAGTAGATGGCACTGTACACTAAAGGTTACTAGTTGTGCATATGTGTAAAACTTGTTGGTTCTATTTCTTCTCTCTCAAAAAAAAGGAAGTAATATGTCTGCTGGTATACTGTCTGTTTGCAACTTAAGCCACACAAGTAAAGCCAGAATTCTGCCCCATAACTACCAGTGTCTTCTATAACACATAACCAACACGGACTAAGGCTGGAATGCCATTAAAGTTCATGTGCGTGTAAAGGCAGGCAGCCCAATACTTTTGTCAATATAGTGTATGTGGAATGTGTTATATGGACATGGAAATAGTTTATAGATTTACAAACAATTGCATGATTTAATAAAACAAATTTGCACTATATATGAGATCAACTTGACTTGATGAATCATAGGATATGAATTTGTACGATACATGAATTTGTGTTTTTTTCACCGATTTGTTTTTAATGATTTTTAATCTGTTGATTTATTGAGGGATTTATTTTTGGTAAGTGCTGTATTTTTGTATACGAAATATTGCCAATATCTCTAGAAATTGTTATTCATTTGCTTTTTTAAATAGTATGTTTATTTAGGGAGAGTGCACAATTAATTTGCTATTGCTTTAGTATAATCTAACACTTTTAGTAGTTGAATTGTAAATTTTCATGAAGGTCTATAAATCAGATCAAAATGAGGGACAACAGAAGAGGAAATAAGGACAGAGGGATTTGATTCCAAAGAAGAGAAAGTTGGGAGCTATGATATTATTATATTATTTTGATATTAAATGTGAGTCTACACTCTTTATGCTGAAGAATGGGAACTTCACAGTTTAAACACAGAATACTGTTACTAAACTTATGACTACAAAAGTTCTCAATTAGTGCTACTTGATTGAAAATTGTAGAGTTGTATCCAGTATGAAAAGTAAGGGGAAATCTTCCAATGGGGACCTTTTTTCAGGGACAACAGTTTAAGACCACTCTTACAGTTGCATTTAGGGGGTGGTAAAAACATTTGGTTGAGCTGCACAAGCAGCGAATGAGGATGTACACATGCCACAACTGTGATGCATTTGAACTGAATGAGGCTGCGCTGCAACTGCCCTGCAACTAAGTACATTGCATGCATTTGCGGCACAGTGGTATGGGTTTTAGGGGTTAAAACAGGCACCGAGTAGGCGACCTAATACCTCCTCACTGCCTGTCAAACATCCTCTGAAAAACCCATCTTCTGTGGATCATTCTTCAGAGAGCAAAGATTGTGTAAACGAGCCCTAAACAAGGAATATTGTGTCTCTCAGACAGAAAGTAAAGGGATTTCCCCCCCCCCCCCAATGGTACACAGCAAAAAAAACTAATAACCAGGCGGGGGTTTTAACCCTTCCCTACTCTATTTGAAACCAAAAAAAGGAAAAGTTTTGGCTATACATACAACTTAAATCCCAGTGTTTTGTGTTTAATAACAGTCAGCAGCTACAAAAACTGTAGCTGCTGACTTTTAATAAACAAACACTTACCTGTCCCAGAGTACAGCGATATTCTCACCCTGCGCCGTTCCTTCTCCCCTCCACGGCGCCGTTATCTCAACTACGAGCATCAGGCTGTGAGAGCTTGCTGCTTCACAACCTGGTGCCCGCTGCACATGTGCGAGTCAAACTGCGCCTCCTGATTGGTGACCTGTGAAAGTTCCCAGGAGACTGTGGGAGGGAGGAGGGGGCCGAACTTCTGTCTCACTTCGCCGTGGTGAACTGAGCCAGAATTGGGAATGGGTACCTGTCAAAACAGTTATCCGCTCCTCCCTTCCCCCCCAAAAGGTGCCAAATATGGCAGCGGAGGGGTCGAGGAGGCAAATAAGCAGAGCTTCTGATTTTGAGTGGAACTCCGCTTTAAATGTTTTTTAAATGTCATCTGCAGTTACCCGTTGTGTGTATGGCATACACTGTATGTGCATTGTACAGAGTGCCTACTAGCAGCAACTCATTTCATAGTCCTGGTAAAAACTCCTATAATTTATAGACCTTACAAGATAAGGAGGAGGCGCCCAGTGCGAAATGCATTGAGGCTTGAACAACATGTCAATTCTGGTTCCTCTGTCATCACATCCGGTTGATAGAACGCACGCCAACCAGGGGCAGACTGACCATTTGGAAACTCGGCACTGCCCGAGGGCCCAGGGTAAGTAGGGGGCCCCATGAGATGCCCCTGGTACCTTTTTCATAGGCTTTTTTGAATTTGGGCAAGGACACAGGGGCCCCATGATCCCCTATTGCCCGGGGGCCCCATGAGTTGTCAGTCCGCTCCTGATGCCAACCGTGAGAATAGCGGCGGGTGTGAGGAGAGGGATCCCCCTAGTGAGCAGTTTTGGTTGGTGCGCTCCCTGTGGCACCATGTGTGTGCATTCAAAATAAATTCCTTTTAATATTTTTAATAAAAACTTGGCTGACTATGAATACTTTTCTGGGCTCTTTCCTGAGATATTGGCTGAGAATGGAGGAGGTGGTTTAGTGCTACTTATTATTATTATACAGGACTTATATAGCGCCAACAGTTTGCTCAGCGCTTTACAATATAACGGGAGACAATACAGCAACAATACAGTTCAATACAAGAGGTTTAGGAAGGCCTGATCCTTGGAGCTTACAATCTAAGAGATCACAATAAATTTCTTTGTATCACGGTAATGCAGGAGGAGGGTGAGCCTTCTCTTATTATTATTATACAGGATTTATATAGCGCCAACAGTTTGCTCAGCGCTTTACAATATAAATAATTGAGTGAAAGAGGTCTGAAGGATTCTGCAGGACCAGGCATTGCACCAAATATATAAAGCGCTGAGCAAACTTTTTGGCGCTATATAAATACTGTATAATAATAATAATATATGCTTGCTGGCTACTCTGTTGGCCGAGTTATTCTGGTGAGTTATTTTGGCCATACACGATGGTGGAACACAGTTGGAGTTGCAAGATTTGGTTACCAGTTGGACTGTCACAACAGATTGGTGCTTGGGACTTTTTTCACTTCACTATTTTTGGACTATATATTTATTACTTATGTAAATGTATTATTCTATATGGTTTTCTTTTCTTTGCAACATTACGTCATGTTTGGCCAGTGCCTACTTTTATTCCCCCCACTTACAAGATAAGTGACAAAAGAGTTGGTGTTTTTTCCAATACAAGTTTGAAGCCGGCTGGGTAACCCAGACATTTCTGAGGTCAGATACCGTAGTAAATAAAGCATGCCATTTTTCTTTTTGGATTTTAAAGGGATAATCCACCACAAAACAAATATTTGGCTTTTGTTAGATATAAATTATCTGGATCCCAGGGGTTTCATTTTGAAGTTTTCATGTCTGGCCAGCTTATGCGGTTGTTACATTGTAATCTCACTGTGTAGGATTTTTAGTTTTTCATAGAAAAAAAAAAAAAAGAAGGGAATACTTTTGTCATATGTTTTGTGCTGTTTTCTGCAAAGGTAATACAAATCAAACTGAGGTTCTAGTCAGTCCAATAAAATGTGTTTTTGCTGCCTGTAACCCTTCTGGAGAGATTCAGCTCACGTGCAGGGAAATCTCCAGAGGGGCTCAGACAGCAATAACCATTTACCAGATTATCAAACACTTACCTGCCCAACATTTCCATTATGACTGAGAGCTCTTAAGAAAAGTGCTGAGGCAGTGTGATGTGATGTTTTCACAAAGCTATGTATAGCACCAGTCACTGCATTGCATAGAGGAGCACAGAGACCAAGTGATTATATCACTGGGTCTAAAATAATATGTGTAAAGAAAAATACAGGTTATAATTAAAAAAATGTCATTTGCATGTTGATGAAGAGGGAGGAAGCAGGGAAGACAAAATATAAGCAGATTAAATTTCATCATAAATTGAATCAACTTTATTCATTATGATTATGTAGGTACTCTGAAGTCAGGGAATGCTTTCTGTGCTGCTGGGAATCCCTAAGAGCATATATATAGAAACAGGTACCGCTGACATATTTAAAAAATGAAAGTTGTGGGAATTTAATTCTGACCTAATGACTCACTGACCTAAAACAAGTATGCAGGATGACAGGACATGATTCAGGATTCATATGCTGCATGCTTGATTTTAGGTCATTGTTTCACTTGACATTCAATCTGGGATCAGGATGACAGCCTGGGAGGCCTGCACCTTTAAAGGATAAGTTCCCTTTTTGCAGGTAAAAAAATGTGCATTTAATATTTTTGTCCAAAAGAGCCTGGAAAGCATAGCACCAGCAATCAGTAGCTTGCTGATGCCATGCAGGTCTCCTGCAGACCTGTCAGAATATCTGCTTGCTGTACGGGATGTACGAATAAGCAGACATTCTGACAGGAAGCTTCATTGAATTACCATGGCGCTCCACAGCACCGTGGTAGTTCATTGAAAGCTACAAGCCCACAGCCGCTAAGGCGTGCGCGCCCTCTACCTGGAGATGAAAAATCACATGTACATATATA